GGACTAGTAAAACGCGGACTAGTAAAGCGCGGACTAGCAAAGCGCGGACTAGTAAAACGTGGACTAGTAAAACGTGGACTAGTAAAACGCGGACTAGTAAAACGGGGACTAGTAAAACGCGGACTAGTAAAACGTGGACTAGTGAAACGACAACAACAGAAAAAACAATTTCATACGAAGGGAATCATAAGGCTTAATGGCAAGCCAATTTAGTGCGTGACAATCCCTGTTTGACCTTTAAGCTACAAATGGGTTTGACATGCGCCAGATACAAACGAATTTATAAGTTTAGGCTAAGAAAGAATTTTATTCAGCACCAGTTCAAAATCCTAAAATACACTGTCGTCGTAAATTTCACGGCAGAAACGCAGGAATTCAAGGAATAAAAGTCGCATTAATCTCCTTGTCTCTAGGTAGAAAGAGTCTCATTGACTTCAGCTTCTTGGTGGAAGAAAAACCGATTTACACACGCCATTACAGAAAACAAACAAGCAGACTGACAAAAACAAAAAACACATATTTGCATTCACTTACAATTTGACTTTCCGTGAAATTTTAAAACGGAACAGAGGTAAATCTTCGATGATTAATCGTCGTTGGAAATAAAAAATACTTTCCCTAAGATCTCTAACTGTTTTTCTTTTCACGAGAAAATCGTCGCATGATCATTCAACTCGTGTGTGTTTGTCATACCAGTACTGCTGTTTCTTCAAAAGCGGATGCTTCTTTCTTCTTCAATTGACAGGTGTCACATCGTGACAGTTACTTATCAAAAAATGTTTCAAAATTTGCTCGGAAGCCTTTTAATTACCTTTAGAAATAAAAGTGTTTCGGCGAAAGCTTTCTCTTTAATTTGAATAATGTTTATTTTCTTTATAACTAACTCGCTATCAAAGTGTCAAGTTCAAGGAGGATTTTCCCGTAATGAAACTCGTAATTGTAGCCCTGATTCATTTGGGCTCTTTTGGCAATCATTTAAGGAGACGCGCGCCGACAATTTTCGTTTTCTTATGCAACTGAGTCAAGACAATTTTACTTAGGGGGGTCGCATTA